TGTATTTAAATCTTTCGGCCAATGAAATGAGACGTTACAAGTTGTTTGTTTGTGATACGCCAGAATGTTATCAATGAATTATCAATCGCTAAACTTGACTGTACCTATTCAAAAACGTAAATGCAAATTTCACAAAGCTTGATCCAAATAGCCTTTTTACTGTCTAATAACTTGCAAGTACGAAAAAGACAGGAAAGAAGTATATTTTGTCTATATGTTTTGTGTTTGCACACTTTTTAAAGTTGATCATGCATTCGTTCTAAAATAAAATTTTGACCAGATAAAAGTTAAAAGATGACTTAATTGGACAACCGCAATTGTTAAATCGCTTTGACGTCCGAAAAAAAGATAATAATCAACACATCCATTGTAACTTTTAAAGCCAGTTAAATCCTTTTTTGCTGAAAGAACGTCCGATATCATAAAAATTCATTATCAAAACATAACAAAAACACAAGTAAAGAACGTTTAAGTATTCAATATAAATCAAAACACAAAGGTTATTCCTGATTAGTTTTTCGAATTATTTTATTTAGGCGTTGAGACCCTTTGGTAACCCCACAGTTTAAATGTCTATAATAAATACGTCGTGAGTTGTGGGCGTTACAGACGAACGTTCACCTAATCTGACCCAGTCAATGGGATATTTTAGCGCGCCAATCAATGGTTTCGGCTACACTGTTTTGCACATGATTCTAAAAGTTCGGGGGCCTATCTTTGTCCTAAGTGCGTTTATCAAACATGTCCTAACTTAGGAAAAGTCATAAGATTCGTCCTAACTTTAGGATACCCAAGTAGGTGTCTAAAGATGGTCTAAGGATGGTCATAACTTTAGGATATATTTTATGATGGTTTATTTGTAAATAAATACGACCGCCACTTATATATGGATCCCCTTTTACTAAATATTTTTTTTCTATTTTCGCTAATTTAATGTGTTCTTGCTCTTATCCAAAAGATAGTACAAAACAGTAGTATATACGGGACACTCTTCTACTCATATTTTCCACGTGGAAAAAAAGAATAGAGTGGCATCGTATATTTAGATATATAAAACATAAAATAAATTGACATAGGTTAAAATATATATTAAAGAATATTTACTTTGAAAAAAATTCAGAAAAAGGGGGTCCATTACCCAACCGCATGTGATCCGTAATGAAATAATTTGTCTTCCGTATTTTTATGAAAGATGCACGAGATTTGCCTTTGAACTCTGTAAAGTATAAAACCGTGACACTTCGAATTAAACTCACTCTATAATATATAATGATTGTTACCGATTGTCTTTTATTAGTTTTCACTGTTACTGCTGTTTACAAATAATTTGTTGGGGGCCTCGGTGGCCAAGTGGTCTAAGTAGTTCAACTACTGTAATCACTAGCCAGTCAACACTGAGGTTGTGAGTTTGAACCCCGCTCGTGCGGGTGCACTCGACTCCAATCTTAATTGTCTAGGATTGTCAGTTTTCCTAACGAAGGTCGGTGGTTTTCCCCGGGTACTCTGGCTTCCTCCACCAATAAAAACTGGCCGCCACGAAATAGCCCAAATGTGGCGCTTAAAAGTGGCGTTAAAACACCAACAATCAATCAATCAATCAAATAAATTGTTCAATTATTATATAAAACTTTGTCCCATTTTTTGTGTTTTTGTTTTTGTTTCATAAAGTTTAAATGTACCATAATAAGATAAATATTATTTATTTTCTTTATGACAATACTAATAATATTTCTAATTTTCGATATTGTAATTATTTACTACTGGTGAAGTTCAATGCATTTTTAAAAATTTAAAATTTTTAAATTCCTAACTTTTCGTTACGCTAACACTTAAGACAGCGGTTAGGACATCCTAGCTAAGATAGTCCTAAGATAGCTTCGATGTGCATGCTGAGACATGTCGTAAGTCGGTCCTAACATTATTCTAATTTATTCCTAAGAGAGGTCTCAGGACAAATCCTAGGACAGCTTCGATAAACAGGCCCCAGTATTTCCAAGGCTAGATTTCTTGTTCTTTAGTAACTTTGTTTTTGACAGATTATTTATATTCTATGGTAAATTTATACAAAACTTTTTTCTAGACAAGGGACAAATTACAGCTTAACTTTATGTTTTGACATTTTTCATTTTTAGCATCATTGTTGTAAGCTATTAGTGCAATAAATTATTTTAAATTTGTTAAAGAAAAAAAAATGTTTTGACATTTTTCTGTTGTTAGCCATTGTTTTTTTAACCCCATTGTGAATTGGGTTTTGATGTTGTTTGTTTGTTGTCTCGTTAACATATATCCCACATATATTATTTATATAAACGAACGAATTACACATTCAATGGAATAAAAAATAATGTCTTACCTCCCCGATGACAATCTATAGGGTTGTTGTATTTCTATGTAAAACATTTGAAACGAAACGTATGACAGAATAAATTATGTATCTACGGGGGTCAGTGATATATAATAGTAATCAATTATTATATCTTTTACCATGACGGTAACAGTGCGTAATTTATGGAGCTGAAAATACAGTAGTCCTGAAAATTCTAAATATTTGTTTGATATGCTTTTGTTGTCAAATAAATAACAGAATGAACGGAAACAAAGTACCATGAAGTTGTGAGTTTTAAAGAACAAGATTTTGTTTATGTATATAATTACATATATGGATATATATTTATTTTTTGATGTGTTTTACGTGATTATTTCCGAAAGTGCAAACTGGAACATAAGACTACAAATGATGCTTTGCTTTGAAATATCCAAAGGTATAGAATCTTCATATTTTCGTACCTGAATATTAATTTAAATAATGTGTGTGTTACCTTGCTATCAATATGAATTGCTGGATTGTAGGTTCCTTTATCCTTTGGTAGAAATTTTAATACCATGAAATAATGTCTGTGAAATTTAAGTGTATCTCATTTCAACAATTCTCTGACTTTTCTCAACATCATTTATATCAAACATAATTGGCTTTGTTTTTGTTTTTTTCGTATTCTAAATGTATTATCTACACTGTGCTTTTAAAGTACAGAAAGATACTATGAATTCAGAGATATTTTAAGAACAAAATTCAAACTCATTACCTAAATATATGAATCAAATATCTTAAATTGAAAGGTTCAATACTAAAATCTATGATTTTTCAAAAAAGGCCAACCGAATTTGACTGAAACCCTTTTCTAAATTAAAGAGCACAAAAACGACATATAGACATAACTAGCTTATTACGAACAGAAAATTATGTAAATTGTGTTATATTTAAGAGCTTTTTATCTTACATTAGCCAAACAAAAAACAAGACTAGTTAAGTAACTAATTGTATTTAATAGACAGTAACATTTTTTTCAGAAATACTATTCTTTTATTTTATGCACAATTTTACAAATATATGTTTGAATGCAAATTTTCCGTATACGTTTACAAATTTAAAACTGTTACTGATTTTGCAAGCTCAATGTTTATGATGATTGATATTCATAATGAAACGGAACACAGTTCAACATGAAATATATATTATTAAGTTAAATTAATTAAGAAAAAAGATTGACTTTTGTTTATTCGGTTGCTTTTGAACGACATAATTTAAAAATAGGAAATATTCTCATTTATTCATAATATCTTTTATCATGTGGACACGTAATTTAAACTTCCGCAATTTGATTGGATAAAGTCATTATTGTCGATCTTTATAAAACAAAACGTTAATTAACTTGTTTGTAGCTTGTAGAGACAGGAAAACAATTTATTTGTTTCATAAAGGGAAATGGGAGAGGAAGCCTTAAGTTTTGGCAATATACCATTACGCAGAAACTGCAGCAATATGTCATTACACGATATTTTTTTGGATCAGGATGATTTTTGATTTACCTATCAAATAAACGCATCAAAGAAAAAAATCCGAAATTCAACTTATCCGTTAGACTAAATTTTGAAATTAACTTAAAAATTTGACACATGACCTTACAAACAGATTTAGAGCGATATTTTGTATTGGTACATTTTAAATTTTACTTTTAATGGCCACATGAAAGGATCATTGTTCTCATCATTTAAGTTTTCGTTTTATTTTTACCATGGCGTTGTCAATTTGTCTTCTACTTATGATCGAGTTTGGATATTCCACTGGTATCTGCATCCTCTTTTTCGGAAGTATCCACATTCATACTTTTCTCACTGACAAAATTAAAGTTAATATATATTCACATTTTCTTTTAAAATATTATTATTAGTTCTGTTAAATGACAAGAAAATTAAAAGTATTTAATTTTGTCGAGTACATTACGCACAAATAAGTGTAACTTGTATTTATTTCACAAAATGTTTTATTGTACTTAATCTTAAATTTTTTCAGCCTGTTAATGAGCCAACCACCGCTCTGACTATAATTATCAAATACACTTTATTGTACGTCGACAAATTACAACGAGAGCATATCTACATTCAGAATTTCCTCAACTGTTCGCTCTTTTTTCTTATTTGATTTATGAAGATAACAAGTAACGTAGGTAACACATGATTGTGCAGTTTTGCATTTTTAAGAGATCTAGATATTTAAATATTGATATTCAAACAACGTTTTATTGCTGGGTCTGTCAAATGCTCCACTAATCTGATAAAGATAAACTCAATCCCGCCATATTTCTGCGCCTGTCCAAAGCCAGGAACCTCTGGCCTTTGTTAGTCTTGTATGTATTTTTAAAATTTTGGTTCATTTATATGTTTTTGGAGTTTAGTGTGATGTCAATTTTTGCTGAACTAGTATACATTATTGTTAAGGGGCCAGCTGAAGCCCGCCTCCGGGTGCGGGATTTTCTCGCTGTGTTGAAGACGTATTGGTGGCCTTAGGCTGTTTTCTGCTCTTTGGTCGGGTTGTTGTCTCTTTGACGCATTCCCCATTTCCATTCTCAATTTTATATATATGCAGAGGTCCCAATGCGGATTTATATACGACTATTGATCTGAAAATAAAGACAAAAATTTGAAGATGGAGTAAAAACGCCTTTTCAAAATAAGCCATTTTACTAGATAGTATCATCATCAGTTCACATTAATCATTTATAATTTAATATCATAAATAGTAAATAATATTAAGTAAATTGAACAATATAAATCTGAAGCTTTGGGTGCCAATCTACCCTTTTGTTCTTAGACCTACTCCCAGTGGCGCCGAACGAATAATTACCACATATTTACAAAGCGTTTACATTAAAACATTATATAATGATATGTGTAGACATTTAGATAAAATATACATATCGAAATTAACAAGATGACAAAAAACGGTCTCGTCCGAATTTCTATTTTATAAAATATTTTCAACGAAAGCGATCCAAACATAAAATAAATAATCCAATACAGCTTATTAAGTTAATTTACATTTCGCTGTCCATAATATATGTTAATGTTTTGGAAGTACAACCTCTCTTGTAACCATTCGTATTGTTGGAACTTTTTTTATAACTTTCTTCATTCGGACAACAGGTTGTTTTGTCATCGTCACGACAGCAACTTTTCGTTTCTCCAGGACAGTTTTATATCCTATTATCTTTCTTCCTTTCGTATCTTCTCCTGCATTGGAAGGACCAACGTGATTAATTGGACCATATACTCTATTTGAAGGTCCATGTGAATCGACGAGTTGGTTATTTGCTCTGTCTCGGGTGATAATAGTTGTAGGTCGGTGACTGTTGTAAGGGTTATGTCCATTCAACATAGTCGGGTTAAAGTCCTGAAAGTCAAATCTTTGGGGAACACCTACATTTGATTCCTTTCTAAAGGACTGCATTGCCTGGTATGGTTGTTGTTCACCTGTCATCATTGGTACACTTCTTCTTAAATCGGTTGGATTAACGGGAACCATACTAGGTTGATAATGTGAACTTTGCGCTCCAGAAAGATCGTTATTTTGGCCCATATGCATCATAGAGTTTCCAAACCCTAAGTTGGATTGTCCCATTGTTGGTTTAAGATTTCCAAGTGATTGGTAAGGTGTAATGTATGACTCAGCGTTAGATTTATATTCTGACGGCATTTGTCCAACAACCATTGAATCGATTAAGTAGAAAAATACCAGCCATACTTGGAAACTCATGACCACTGTCCTAGACATCACTGCAAAATAATAAACAATTATATTTATTGCTACAGTAACTATAATTCTTGGAAACAATCAATTAAGAAAGATTATTCATTTTTTAGCTAAAATGGCAATGCTAGTATTATATGCATTACGACCAATAGCATTCTTATTGTAAAGAAAAAATAGTATGATATCATTTCTAATGCACTTGGGACGATTAAACATTTATTTTTACCCCTTTAACCCATTAATCAATTTAACTACGTTAATCCTTTTAGCTAGATTAATTCATTTTACTACATTAATCCATTGAACCAAGGATTTGTATAGTAAGACGGATTGGAATCTCGTGATTTATCGTTTTCTCTTACGCCACTACTACTTGTCACTTACGATATCGGAACAATTATTCGGTAATTTTTTGTACACATGTATCGAATTATTATTTTTTTTTTTTTACGTTATGGACATTGTTGTGATGGTAAAGGACTTTAATCATTCTTAAATGTAATTATTATTGATTACCACTCAAGTTTCTTTTGATGACAAAGCGTAATTAAAGTGTTTTCTTTTGATGAAAAATCGTAATTCAATGTGTAAGAACAATGTGTTTACTATATGTTAACCTCTGTAAATTTTTAATTTCATTCAATTGCCAAAACAATGAAAAAAATATCTCATTCTTTTAAATGATGACATTATTCCTATTTGCAAATTTGCTTCTTCCAAAACTATCAATTTCGGGAAATAGGTGCAAAACCATTTTTGTGGCAAGCTCAACTAATCTTACCACAACAAGTGATTGTGAACTGCTATTTCGGCAATTACATAGTTTGAGAACAAACCACACATTTTAAGAAGAATTACTGCATTGTGTATTATATACATGTCAGTGGCGGATCCATAAATTTCATAAAGGGGGGAGGGGGCAATGACTGCCTAAGAAGACGCCCCTGGAAAACTCTCTAAATCCAGCTCTGCATGTAGCCGGTTTCATTATATAGGCATTGAAGAAACCTTACTCAGTGTGTTTTAAATTATCTACTGCAAGCAATTTTTTAGAATTGTACTAATAACATTACATTTGTGAATGCATATGGGGAATGGTTTAACAAACAGGACAGAAGGGGTCTTCGAAAACCAACTGATACATTTTTCTTTCTTGTCATCGAACTTGAAACAATTGTGCATAAATTAATAGGGCAACCTTATAGTGTCAGCTCTCTGTCATAACAGCCTCTCAAGTAGTCAATCATGAATTATTCATGGTTACGTATTATACAGGCATTAACTTGAAAAGAGCGACTTGTGATACCGTGTCATATATCACAAGAAGATTTTGTTCATCTTTTTCTGATTGTACGTTGGTACGCTTTCATATGAGGTAAGTTACAGCAGTAAAGCTTCATGTATGCTAGGTTTATCAATAATGTCTTGGTTAACACGATAACATAAATGTTTATTGTCTATCTGTTTAACAGTATATATTTTTTGTACATTTTTGGCTTGAATACTAGTATACATATACATATTGACTTTATAGCACACAATTACATGTAAAACACTTGTCTATGACTTTTGTCAATCATGATATAAAATAAAGATAGACTGTATAATTGCTTACATCCACTTCAGCTGAACTTTGGTAGACCGTTGTCTCATTGGCAATCATACCACATCTCCTTACCCTTATGTCAACTTTAAATTTGATCTAAAAACTGATTTTAGGCCATGTTTTATGTACGGGCTGTTGGTTTCATGCGAGAAATTTTATCGACTTGCTTATGATGCTGTATGGGTTTTGATAATTGTGTATGATAACATACATGTAGATTACTAGTTGCTAAAATCTTCATTTGATATTGCGATCATACCCCATGTCTCCTTATTTTGCTACATGTACTCATAGACATTAATCACACATATTTATATGAAAAACTGGACTAATAAAGGCAATGGCGGAAAAGAGAATCATTAATATACACTCATCACCAAGGAGTTATAGCAGGTTCGCAGAATATTAAATGAATCTGGCATGTAAAGGAATTTGATAAATGATGTTCAATAATTTATTTTTACATTAAAATATAGACATCCAGTTCAACTGGTATCACATCTATCAAGTCACTATCAAAGTTCCCTACACACAAAGATTAGCTCTCACGTTTTGATAAAAGAGATTGAATGTTGATGACCCAATGAAATATTGTTGATAAATCTTTCCATAAATGGCAATCAGAGGAACGTTTTGGTCAATAGTCTCATTTAGTTGTACCGATACACTAGTATTTCTATTTCCTTTTGAAGGCATGACATTGGTAAAGTCCACATGATTATTGTATGAATGGTCAACTGTTGTTGGCACACAACTGCTTAGACTGTTTTTTGGGCTTTCTTTGTGATGGGACTTTCTTCTTAGCTGTCACCAGTTTAGGCATTTTGAGGAATACTGGAAAAAATTGTGTAATATAGTTACATATGGCAATAATAAGACAATATCATATATGGCTTTAAAAATTCCAATATCAAATCTGTATCAACAATAGAGACAGCAATATAACCTCAAAGGCTCTGCTCAAACAATTATATTTAAAAGATTTATATAAGTTTTCTATGGGTTTATGATTAAATATGTAAGCTTATGCCAATTCAGGAATTTTAGCAATGTTTCTATTATTGTTAAAATTTTCTACAAGATAAGATGTAGCAAACATAAAAATACACATTTTATTTTAATGGAGCAGTCATATGCTTATCCAAAAATTACAAAACTATGTATACATACATGTACATATCATAAAAGGCAATGCAGGACCTAAATGAATTATCATGTCAGAACATGTGTGTCTAATCAAACGACACTTAAAAAAAAGCACAGAAAAATTGATATTTTCATATCTTCTCGAGTAATGAAATCAAACAAAAAAAAAACCAAACTAAGGTATATAGTTACTAGCAGTTGGGCTGAGAGAAGAGAGAGCTCATGTAATGCATTAGTTCAAATAATTATGACGTCTTGCAAGGCTATTTTAATTGTTTGCTTTGACGCCTTCACAGGAAGGCCTCAAAGCAAAAAATAAAAATAAGGCGTCAAATCAAAAAAGTATAAAAGCCTTCCAAGACGTCATAATTATTTGTACTAGTGATATGTGGTATAAACAGATAGAGAAGCTGGGGGTACATAAATGGAGTAAATGATTTATATATTGATGGAAGGCAAAAACAGCAGTACCTATATATCATTAAAGAATGATGAGCTGTGTTGAGGTAGTGATGTCAGTAAAAAATTAACTTATTGTCTATTGAGTAAGGAATAGGAGGTTCAGGCTCAGCTGATAAACATTGGGCTGAACGTTTGAAAAGAGTAAGTTTTTACCAACCATGCACTGTCCCTTTCCACGTCGGCAAAGGCAAATCTCGGGTTTTTTTTATGTAAAATTGATGTAAAACTATTTCAAAAAACATGGTTTAACGATTTCGGTAACAGGACGGAAGTATCAGGTTATTATGACAATTGGATCCCCTCCATATGTATGCCTGGTAAGTTACGATTCATCTGAGGATCACATTGATTTTTGAAGCCAGAAAAGTATCACAATTCCCTTATTTATCGTTTTGAGCTTTCTTCAAGTAATTTTATTATTAATGTTTTACGTTTGTAAACATGTGTGAACATTATCCTCGGCCAATTATAGAACTTTAATGATTTTTCCTATGCCACCCCCATTTTTGTTACGACGCGCCCCTGTTTGTGGTAATCAACTCAAGGAAACGGAAAAATAACGAAAACTAATGCATGTGTACATTTTTGATTAAAAATGAATAATTATTGAAGAATCAGAAAAATAAATTAGTGAATTGGTAAATGGACAATTGGTCTCACTTCATTTAAAAGTGAACACATCTCTGGTCAAGGTTTAGTTTGGACTGACTTCTAATTTAATTTAAACACGTTTTTTATTGGTCACGCACTACAGTAATTCATATTTGATACAAATTTCAGTTTAAAAGTAGATCTCACTACTGATTTTCACTTTTCAGAAACACCAGAAAACAGGTAGTCAACATTTTAATAATCTAGAATTTTTATGTTTAAATATGTCTTAGTTTGTCGTTGAAACTTCTATCAGCGAAGTTAATTTGTTAATGAACATTGTGTTTCGTCGTTTGTTCATTTTTCAAAACGACATTCTTTATTTAACTTGAGCATTTCGTCGTTTGTTCATTTTTTCAGAAAGAATAATAGTTTATAGCGAATTGTCGATATTCTTTATTTAATTTGGGCATTTCGTCGTTTGTTCAATTTTTATCAACGGTTGTCGTCGTCGTTGAGATTTATACAGTTTTTGTTACTTTTATGTAGTATTTCCGTAAATTATGGATCGTCCTAAGAGAAAAGTCGCCAGCCTAAATAAAAGTTTTTATTCAAAAAATTTAAAAAAAAGAAGAAAAGAAACAACGACTCAAGAGGGATCAGTTCAACAAGAGGATTAAAGAGTTAGAAGCGGAAGTAGATGGGATGTCAAAGTTAGAAGAAAAGCCTAAAAAGAAATCCAAGAAGTCAAAGGGTGGGATCACATTAACGAATTTAAGAGCTAACGATCAATTAAATAAAGATGTAAATGATGAAATGAAGAGGTTAGGTTTGGACTTTGACACACATTTTAGTGGAAAGTCCGGGCTAGCTGAAACTTCAAAAGATAAAAATGTAAAATTGAAAATTGAAAAAGTAACAAGTGAACAAGAGTTATTGCAGCAATTAAAAAAATTAAATTTAACTATGGGTTCTGTTTCTAAAACTAGTCAACATAGGAAAAAACATTCTGATTCTAAATCTCAGAAGGTAGTACAGTTGCCTGAATCTGTATTGAGAGGGAACAGTTGTACCGAGTCTGAATCTGAAACAAGTTCAACTTCCAGCTCTGAGGATTCTTCTGATTATGAATTGTCAGCTAAATTATCGTCAAAGAAAAAGAGTAAAACGTTAAAGTCAGGACTTAAAATAAAATCTGCAGATAAAGTTATAAATTCA